ACGGTGTGAATTCCTGCTTCCTTTCCTGTTGCACCGTGTCTGTTACTGCCACCTTTCTTTTCTTTTCTTTTCTTTTTTAAGTAAATTCAGTTCACGTAATTTCCTGCAGCCATCACTCACTCTTGCATATTAAAAAAAAAACTACTGAGGTGATTTTCCATCTCCTCACTCTGCTGAATCAGAAATATCGCCCAGCAGCAGGTCGTCTCGCCACAGGCCTCGTGACTGTAACCCAAGCAGGTCCTAATAACTGACCCAGGCTGTAAAGTCATTTGGGTTTATTATGTCCAGCCTGCCGGAGGTCGTCGTAAAAGTTCAAGGAGCACTGTTACATTTAGTGCCTGCTCAAAACCCCATTAACTTTCTCCCATTTGTCCTGGATCCCATATGGCTTCACTTCAGATGGAGAGCAGCAGTTCTCCTTTTCCTCCCACAGCTGCCCACAGCCTCTCTGCACGCTAGTTGTCATAACTGGATGGAAGGTGATGGATTTCTTTTCTGAACTGAGCAGTTTTGCAGTCCACTTTCTTCTGCAAGGAGAAGGATGTTTTTGTATTTTTTATATTGTGAATGTGACAGACTGTTGAACTGGTGTAAATCAGTCAGTCAGAGCAGACAGAACAAGGTTTATCTGATTTCAGACTGTACTGCTGCCTTTGAGAGATGCCGGCTGTAGATACTATGGATATTTAAACTGAGGAAATAAAGCTAAATTAGGTTGTAAGGAAGCACGTGGACAAAACTGTAATGCTTGAGCTGATTAATACCCCTCCACTAAGTACACTTCTTCTTATTATTGGTGCTATCTGAGCCCAAAGTTTGCTGGTTGCTGATTTTATTAAACACATCTATTTACCAAGAGCAGTGTGAAGCCTAGCATTCCTTCAACATACATGAAACCAGACTTGGTTCCAGATTAGTCCTCCCAGTTTTATCTATTTGAGTTTTATATGCCTTCGTTAAGTTATTGTCCTTTCAAAAATTTCCAGATGCACATAAACTTTTGGGGTGACTGGGTGCTCTGCAGTCCATCTGAGCCTCCAGTTTGTTTGACTCGTGTGATTTTTGCATGCTGTGTCTGCTCGAGGATAATCAAACAATGCCCGGAACTATTTGAAAAGATGGGCACGGGTGCAGTTCAACTGGACTCGGCACGGTCCACATGTGTTCCCCAGCACGGATCTACGATGCTTCCTCAATGAGAGCTGCTGCAGTAAAAACTGTTTTGTTCTTGATAAATATGTGAGAGGAGAGTGTGTAACCGCTTTCATAGCTAAGCCACAAAATGCATAAAAACTAGATTTTTCTAAATCTAGATGTAGATTTGTTAGAGAATGTGTAAACATGCACTTGGACTTGGATGGTTAAGTGCCGTGTTAGGACAGGCCACCAGCCTGAGAACCTCTGGTAATTTTGTTTGTGCAAATCTGTTCATAACTTTCTGAGTAATCCCACCTGCAACCATGAAAAAAAGAAAAAAGAAAAAATTGGCTTCACAAGTTTGGCTCAAAAGTATACATACAAGCTCAAATATGTGCATAGGCTACACATAAATCTTTTAATAAGTGGTGCTGAAAGTTGTAATAAGCTAAAGACTATAAACTTCCTGTTAAGAAACACAGTGAAAAGGTTCAGTTCAGTTCCTGAATCACACACATCTGGAGACCTGTTGGCAGCTTCCTGGTATCCACAGGTTGCAAGCCCGCTGCTAGTGGTTGTTGAAGATGATGGCAGTCGCTGTGAAACTCGCCAACTGGTTGGGGAATACGCATTTTCCACAGTGATCAGTGATTCCCAGATGATTGTTGGCTTGTCTCTAGGCACATGTGATGCCGACTAGCTACAGGGACTTTTGCACAAATCTACCCGTCACCTAAACCAGCCACATTCTTAACTCTAAGCCTTAACACACCTGAGGTGGATGGTACTGCTATCTAGTGATTATTTAATTATGAACGGGGTAGTACAGATTTGGCATCAAAGTAGAACTTTGTTGAGTGATTGTGCTTTTAGCATGGTGAGACATAACATTTAAAGCATCAGCGTAATGACTCATCTTGGCATCATCCAAAATCTAAATCAGTCTGTTTGAAAATACTGGATGGATGGACAAGGAGATTTCTAACATTAAACAATTCTCTTGACGGTGAGGAGTGCTGGGTGTTGTCAATGGTTTGTGACATTAACAAGGCTGTTTTTGCTTTTTCCAAAAATATGGATTCTTCCGTTACTACTCCAACAGAGGTCGATTATCTTGTTAATAATTTTACCTCCTCACTACGTTTGGTACGATCGTAAGCAGAGTCATGTGTAGCCCTACTTTAGCTCCACAAACAGCCAAGATGCAGTTTGTGACACAAACCTTGTCAAACACAAACAAAAGTAAATTATAACACAGATGATGATGATGATGATGATGATGATGATGATGATGATGATGATGATGAGTTCATGATGAGGCGAACTGAAGAGGAGAGCGACAGGTGTTGCAAGGGGGAATCAAACGTTGCTTGTGGAGTCCTTCGGTGCTGCAGGCGGGCACTATCCAGGTACGGAGGGAGAAAATGTGGAGCTGTTGGCGAAGTGTAACACTGCTGAATTTTGGAAAGTGACTTAGTCCAGGCTTAGAGTTTTGTGTCTATGTTTACATGATGGGAATTCACCGCAGCTTTAGAAATAATATAGACTCGTATTTGTTTAAATTGTAGAGTATTTGAAGCCATTATATTGACTAGGTATCTTTAAAATATACAGCGTACACTCTAAAAATAAAAATACAACTCAAAATATTTAATAAGATGAAATCTAATGTTTTGTATTCATTATAAAGACAGAGTTTGAAATACACTAATTTTAAAAATAGATTTTCCAAGCACATCGAGTTTTTGTACAAAGTATCTGTATCGGATCAGTATCGCCGATACAAGACAGAATTTTACTTGGTATCAGATCAGACAGGAAATCAGTGGCGTCGCACGTCACTAGTGACTCCTTTCAGACAAATGTAATTTTCCATGAGAACACAGTCTGACAGTTAATATACAATCTTCTAAATGTATTATAATAACAGATAATGTTCTGCCTCTGGATTTACATCTGGAACAAAATGTGCACCATCAGCAAGATGCCACAAATCCTTCGGTTGTTAAAGGCTGATCCAGTTACCTGCAAAATAAGTTTGGTATTCACCACTAATTACACCCCTAATCCAACTAAATACCTGCTGAGAGTCCAGACCACAGCAAGCAGTGTGATATTTGTGGTCTGGCTTATTGAAGCTAATAAAGACGAGTTTAGATGTTCTTTTTTTTATAAGGAATGTGTGATGCAGCTGGGTGATGTGCTGCCATGCATGGAACACACAACTGTAAGGAAGCACGCTGTAACACCTTGGGTCCGTCATTACATTGATCACATGTGTCTGTGCTGCCACAACTAACAGCTTAAGCAATAAATGAATCTGGAGAACATTTTTTCAGTTTGTTGTGTGCCCATTATTTCCATTAAATTTGACTGAAAATATCTCATAATTTCCCATAATGCACATCTTTTTTGACTAATCACGTTAGTCCATGAGATATCTCTTGAGTATTCGTGCTAGTTCTCAGTTGCTTCGTATCTAGCTAATGCTTGGGCAGCTGCCATGACTTAACTGTGGCCTTTTTACCAAAAAATGCAATATTTAACCAAGTGGTTTTCATTTGTAAACCTAACCAGCGACTAAAAGCAAGTGGGTGAAAAGAAAAATAATATGCAGTAAAAAAGCAAAGAATTCTGCAAAACACCTTGGTCCTAACGTGCCACAAACAATGGCCTTTTGGGAGGTAAACCAGCAACTTACCATCCTTCCGACCTCCAAACACGGACTTCTTAGATCTCTAAGGCAAGACCATATTCTCCAGGGAGCAAATATTGCCACAGCTGGTGATGAATCAAATAACTGACGCAACAAAGCATCATTATTGCACCTGGGGGTAAGAATGGCTTGTATATGCATTCTTAGGATATTTCTAGTCCTCTTCTTGGTTTGGTTCTGTCATAGAAATATCATGAATGTTGTTTTTAGTGGCTGGTGGAGACCAAACCTGAGCTACAAAATGTTCTAGTTTTATGAGATGTTCACTGAACTGATATTTCTGATTTCATATTTTATAGAATATTTATATATTTTCTCGATTCTTTGAGGGTATTTTAATTTTTTTCTCAAGCTTGATATTACTTGCTTGGTTTATCTTTACCTCACTCTGCAGGAATGCATTGTTTCTACTTACTGCTGCTTTAATGAGGCTGCATTCCTCTACCTGAATGCGCTATCACTACTCTCATACATGCTGTTAAGCTCTCAGTGGGGTCTGAGTGCAGTAAAAGCCATCCTGACTAAAGCCCATAAAGGCCTGCAGCTTGCACAACTGAACAAAAACAGAAAACAATGCAAACGGTTTAAATTTACCACCTCCACATGTCACTGAGTCGGTACGGTTCTTTAATACAGCAAAGCAGTCAGTTCTTGTGCTGTTTGAAACACAAGATACAAATAACCCAGGTTAATTTCTCGAAATAAGTTACTTCAGATTTCATTCTTTAAACAGAATAAAAACTATTATGATGCCATTAGCCTTTTTTCCAGTTGATCAGAGCCTAAATGAGTATTTTGTACACAACTTTACCTCTTCAGACAGAACTGATTTATGAACATGATCATGGGTCCAGAGTTTGAGTTAAGTGGAATCTGAGCTGCATGGAAAGCAGTAACATCCCCCCTCTGTTGGACTTACTAATATTTACCAGTATATTTCCTAAGATGAGGACTTCAAAAAAGACTATATCCCAACTTGGAAAACCAAGAAAAGAAAAACCCATACAGACACACCCACTGGCTTGTTTTCAGTACTTGTTGTTTGTGATGTTTGTGGTGGAGAATGCTGCCTGGTGTCGTGTCAGTGAATGCATTACCACGAACACGCTTTCATGAACGCACCCTGAGTCCTAACTCCTTCCCAAACAAATCTCAAATTAGGGCCTGATGCGAGGCACCTGTGGCTTCTCTCTCTGGTGTTTATGGTATGTAGCTGAAATACATAATTTAACATACCCAAAACAACCTTATACACATTCATGTTTATTTCACTGCCTTTTGTTTTAGCTTTGATCTTTATGTTAGTCAAACAAATTGTACTATATGTAGAATCCCAGAGTGGTTGAGATCTGTGAACCTGTGTGTTGACACCCATTTTTGTTTCGATTGTGCTGGATCCTGGTTAATGCCTTTAAAGATTCACCTGTTTTATTTTTATTTTATTATTAAACCTACTCTTTGTTTTTGTTTGGAGTTAGTTTTCTCTATATCTGTCAGGAAGTTAGCCCTCGTCGCTGAGGCCTCCCACACTTACAGTATGCGGGTAAAGCTACTGGGCCCAGAGTGTAGACTGCACCATCTTGTATAGGAGCTCAGGTGAGTAGTTGGTAGCACTCCTCAGTGCCCTCTGTTTGTTTTAATATATAATTTCTAAGTGTGTGAGTGTGTATCAGTTTGTTGGAAGACATAATTACACACTAAGCAATGTATAGTACAATGTTATTTTTTCTGCTTAATCTAAAAAAACAAAAACAAAAAAAACTTACTGTACCTTTAAAAACAAACAAACAGTGCATTACTTTCTATGAGTAATGACCCGGGCACTGTATATTGGATAATCCATGGTGATGAGTATAGATGTACCATGCTTGCTTTGATTATTAGAGAGTGATGTTATGTCGCAGTGGTCCTGTGCCACATGCTCCTGTGACATCTCTGAAAAAATATTAAGAAACATTGTTATATTCATTCTCCCAGTCTGCAAAACACAGACTGAATAAAATTCCCATCACAATTCCAACAAGGGTAAAAAGCTGGTCTGCTTCTTCATGACTACGATGGACTAACTTAACTGTTTAACTGTTTGTAAAACACTCTGTTCCTCTCTTTAAAGTTTGGGTTCACTAACCTAATGTTCTAATCTCATGCCAATGTCCCTGACCACCATGCAAAACTGAAAAGGAATGTCAGCCAAGGGAACCCCACAGTGTCCGAAGCTGAGAGTTCAGGATCTATCTCTTCTATGCCCCTTGGCGCTTTGCCACCCAGCTGAATGAAAAACTACAGTCTCTGCAGTTTATCCTGACTAAAAAGGTTTCATTATGAGCTGGGTGTCAGCAGATCTCTGCTGGCATGGAAACTTGTCTTTATTTACCACCACAGGCAGAAAACAAAGTGATCATGTTCTTGAGTAAAAACACCTCAAGGGCTTAAAAATGGGCCTAATATCAGGTTTATGTATGATACCTTCACACAAACCCTTCAGAGAACTGAGGCGGTATCATCCAGAAGCAGATGTTCACTCCGTCATCTTCAGCCTTAGATCTTTTTTTCTTTTTTTCGGATCATCTTTCCCCTTGTCAGTTTGTTTCCACGGTTTAATCATCTGAAGAATCTGAAACCCAATGCCTCCACAGATATTCACAGCTGTACAATGAGTTGCTGTGGGTGTGGGGATTTACAAGTTATTTCTGCAGCTTGTGCAAGGATTCATGTGGGTCAATGCGATGTAAATTTTGTGCATAGGAAATGTAGCTATTCACGAGAGTCCAGTAGTCGAGTCACATCAGTAGACTAATTCTGGAACAATCAATTCCGGGTTCTCTCAGGGAACTCATTGCTGCTCCCAGTCCAACAAGACATGCTTGTTAGATTCATCGTTGATCCAAATTTGCTGTAGGTGTGAATGATTCTGTCTCTCTGTTAGTCTTGTGATAGGCTGGCGACTTGTCCACGTTTGTGGGTGGATGGCTACAACATCCAGAAATCTATGCACCCAAACCTCCCAGCACATTTTTTTTTAGTGGGTGTTGATTGTTTTGTTTGTAAAATTTTCGACTCCAACTGGAAAATAAAAGAAAAATTGAACCCACTGAAGTCAAAAAGGCTTCACATGTTGAATTTACAACCTGAAAAATATGACATCTCACTTATATGAAATCCAGTGCTTCCCGCTTGCTGTTCTCAAATTACTTATGATTGAATTCCCGTGTTAAACTCATCTGTCAAGGAGAGCCTGGGGTTGATAGGTTTTTTTGGTGTCAGGTGAGGAGATCTCAGATTCGCTGCCTAGCCCTGAGTGGGAGGTGATGAGAGCAGCCCTGGCACTGGATAGCAGAGAGGTAGGAACACATTCTGGGTTGCAGGTTAACACTCCCTGAGCTGGCACGACCCCTGCAACTATTGGATCAACACATCTCTCCAGTTCTCTCAGAAAGCGGAGAGTTGGCAGTTGGATTTAATCCTGCTTCTGTGAAAATAAGCAGATTTTTTTTTTTTATCTTTTTTTTAAAAAATCTGCAGGATTTGTAGTACTTTTTGAAAAAATAACTAATTGTTTTGGCAGAGCGAGCTGTATTATATTATTTATGTTAGAAATGACTATTTTGCTCATCTGCTTTTGAAATGTTAAACATTTACCCTGCTTTCAGTCAATCATGTTCAATTAAGAGACGTCGATAAGGGTATACAGCTCTGCTTATATCTTGGTTGCCTGCTGCTAGTTCGCTTTGACAAATATGCCGTCTAGAAAAGCCGAGTAACATTAGACAAACACAAAAACGTACATTTGTTACAATTAAATATTAAGACATGAGAGGTACACAAATTACAGGAGATTTTCAGGAGAAATTGCAGGTTTTATTGTGGAAATTCAGAATGGGTAGACACACTGTTGCCATTAAATGTGGACGTTCAAATGTTCAAACTTGTTCCTTTTGGGAACAACACAACAAAAATGACTTCTGTCCTTTTCCCTTAAACATTTCTGTAAAAGTACTTTCATAATGAAAATCTTAAGAGTAAGCCAGCAAGCCATGAGTTTACCTTTGCAAATCCAGCTGTGAGAACTGCTTCTGATACTGAATCCAGGTGTGACATCTGAAAGATATTTTACCTCTAGAGTGTAAATCTAAATGGACCAATGGCAGGTCGATACCTGGCAGAACCAGATAACCTTCAGAAATACAAAACAGCACAGCTCAGATTTGTTTGCTTTGAGCTGAAAGTGAACCAACACAGAGAGAGGGCTGTGTCTCTGCTGATGGATGGAAGTGTTTGTTCTCCAGCGAGGAAGGTGGAGGCGATAAAACACAGCTTCCTGTGTCTGTGAGCGGCTTTGTACAATATTATCTATAAGATATTCAGCTGTACACTTCCAGCGTGGTATGCTGATGGTAAATTTTAATTTAATAATGTAAATATGAGTCTGATTTTAAAAAATGCACAAGAAGTAATATCACCAATTTGCATGTGCAATCTAGTCCATATTAATCATAAAATAGATTTCAGTTTTTATTGAAATTTATATTTTTGCAGGACTTATTGTGTCTGAAAAACAATCAAATAGGAGATATACAGCAGGAATGGACAACCTCTCCTGAGGTGATCCACCTTTACAAAGCTGCAATACAAGCTTCCAAAATATGTTTAAAAGAAAAAATGTGAGCTGCTTTGCTTCTTTTGTGGTCTCCCTGTGTAAACGACAAAGATGATGATGTTCTCAGACTTGAAATACACTCCATGGCCTGTTCATTAGACACACCTTTTGATAGTACTAGTCCGGAACCCCTTGTTCCTTCAGAACTGCCTTAATTCTTTGTGGCACAGATTCAGCAAGGTGCTGGAAATGTTCCTCAGAGATTTTGGTCTATTTTGATATGATAGCATAGCACTTTGATGCACATCCATGATGTTAATCTCCCATTCCATCACATACCAAAGGCGCTCTATTAGGTTGAAACCACACCCCCGGTGGTCTGAACTGTTGATACAAGGCAGGGTGCATCCATGCTTTCATGTTGTTTACACCAAATTCTGACTCTACCATCTGAATGTTGCAGCAGAAATCGAAATGTCATCAACCCACTGAGTTTTTCTCCAGTCTTCTATTAGCCAGTTTTGGTGAGCTTCTAACTCTAGCCTTATATTCCTGTTCTTACCTGACATGTGTGGAACCTTGTCTGGTCTTGTGCCGCTGTAGCATGCACCCGGTCTGGTCTTCTGCCGCTGTAGCCTGGACCTGGTCTGGTCTTCTGCCGCTGTAGCATGCAACATGTGTGTTCAGAGATGTTCTTCTGCATCTTCTTCATTGTTATGAGTGTTCGCGCTACTGTTCCCTTACTATTGGCTTGACGCAGTCTGGCCATTCTCCTCTGCCATCGAGACCCACCCAGAAGTGGTTGTGTGATCAGATCAGCAGTTTCTGAAATACTCAGACCAGCCTTTCTGGCACCAACAACCATTCCTAAGTCTCCTAAATCATGTTTCAACCACAATTTTTGCTCTGCTTGAACTTTAGTTGTTGATTTTTGTCTGTCCGCTTGTATAAAGCCATTGAGTTGCTGGCATGTGATTAGCAGATTTACATATCTGCTTTAACAACAATTTCTACAGTGTTTAACAGTTTCGGCTGGTGATTCTACTTATTACAAGCTAAGCTGTTTTCCTAATGCTCCTCCTTCTGATAGTGGAATTTTCACGGCATATCAGTCTTAAAGCACTTCTTAAAATGTTGGATGGTAAATGGCCTGTATTTATATAGCGCTTTACTAGTTCCTAAGGACCCCAAAGCACTTTACATATCCAG